CTTTATTATTTTGTCTAACAATATTGGATAAAAATTTTAGACATAATATTAAAGAATGCAATAACAAAATTTGAATTAAATTGATTGGATTGTTAATCAAAAACTGAATTTTGAAAAAGTTGGAAACTAACAAGTCTAATTTTCAGGAATTGTGTAACATATTTCGATGAAATTTGGCATTTTGTTTTGCATAATTACGTTCCTTTAAATTATATCAGAAATTGTATACATTAGATTTTAAAATAATTTCGACTGTTATTAAATAAAAAGAAAATAATGAATGTATATATTAGGGAAATATGTTGATTGTAATATTTTGTAGAAGAAGTTAGTGATTGTGTGAATATTCCGTTGAAGAAGTCAGGTGATCACTATTAGTTTTATCTAGTTCGAATAAAGGCAATATTGGTAGAATATGTATATAGAAAATGATGATTAACACTAGTTGAGAAATCATCTTTATTGGTGCATTTCTAATTGCCACATTTTATTCTGGAGGGATGTATATATTAAACGTCATAAGCTGCTTTAATGAAGAATCAGATTACTGTAAATAATAAGAAAATGTTTTATTTAAGAAATTTATATCGAGCTCCAAAGTAAAAAAAAAATATTCATCATTTTTATTGTACATATGAATTATTAAGTATAGAAAAATGAAGAAGCTGGCTCGGAGGATGTGGCTACAGGGGCAAACAAAACAGGACATCTCCGTCTACGCAGAAATCAAAAATGTGTGTGTCATGTGTACGTTAGCATAGTTTGGAAAGTTAGGGAACTTTAAGGAATCCATTTATTATCTATTAATTGATTTAATCTATTGCCAAGGTTTCTTTCTTAGCCTTACACTATCAAATTTGTTAGCGAAAAAGAAAGCGTGAGAAATAAAGAATATAATGAATTCAATACATTAGCAAATATATAACGTTTTTCAAATTCTATACTAATATTTTGGGCAGGTGTATAAGAAATTTCTAAAAATGGATTTTATTCTGCACTCATTTCAAGGTTATGGAATAAAAAAAATTTCCGATTATATTAATGATCTTTATTTACAATGAAAAGGATTAAATAAAATAATAATTTAGTTTTTAAATGTTTGGAAATATGTGTACATATTTCAGCATGACAATATACTAAAAGTTATTCTTTGAAAAGAATATTCTTTGGATAGACGAGTATAATAATTCCGTACAAAAACTTTTCAACACGCTTAAAAATTTCTCGAGATATAGCAAATACGCAAAATTTAAAATTAATATTAATGTTTCCAAACTTTGCACCATTCTTTTGAACAAACTATTAAAGCAATATTTTCTAGATTGACCAACTCCCTTTATTATAGGGGTCAGAAATACGATTCCGTCCTAAAAAAGGTATGTTTATTCAGAGAAAGTAGTTTTTTTGTCCGATTTCGCAACTTATAATATTATTTGCATTAAGCAATTCAATTTAAATTGCATTAATCATTATGCAATTTAAAGACCAATAAGATCGATTCGTAGAGAGTGAAAATCTGATTATTAGATAAGTTATTAAGAGTGGTCCTTTTATATTGCACACATTACAACCTTGTTCAAGGAGACTAGGGATATAATGGCAGCTGCAATCATACTAATTTCCTATTTCAATGGAAGAAAGGGGTGCAATTTAAAAATATAGTGCCAATAGTTTAGTCAGCAGATCAGTAATTTTAATATAACTTTTTGATGAATTTTCGATATCTTAAAAAATTTATAGAGAGCGAAATGTGTCAAATGAATTTAGGGTTTATTTAAGGTCCCATTGTCAAAAGAAATTGGGAGCCTCTGTTTTCTATCATTATCTTTTTATCTCATATAAAGTGACAGTTGAAAACAATGTGGATATTGTTGGCAGAAATTTAATTTCAAAAGAATGTAGGTGAACTATTTAAAATAAATTGATAACATTCGGATTTTCTTTGTGTTTTCTTAGAAAAACTGAAATTTTAGTGATAAAGGATAAAGTTATGAGAGCAGGAACATCAACGGATTCAGCAAGAGAAAATAGTTTTTGACGTATAGTCCATAAAAACGAACTTTTATGAATTCTGAAACATAATGTTTGTAGACATGTTATTTTAGTTCTATTATGTCAAAGACTTAAATATGAGACACATTGTTCCTATGAGTAAGAAAATTTTATCAAAATTTCAGAAAGACGTTTTCGTTTTGATTGTTCTAAAGAAAAAACAATATTGGAAAGCAAAAAAGAAACAATGACCTGGAACAGAGAAGGCAGAATGATTTTATATTGTGAAGAATCCTAAAGAAAATAAAATTTTCTCTGAAAATTGGTTCTTCATATAATCCATTATAATTTATAAAACTCAAACGTCGATATTTTTCGAATACTATGAAAACATCATAAAGCAACTCTGATGCCGTAAAAATTTTAGAATTGTTTATATAATTTATGTTTTGAATTATTCTATTCTCATAAAAGTATAATCGAAATCTATTTACTTGATTACTAGTCATGAAAAAAGTTTAGATTTAAAACCAATTAGATTCATTTTTTTATGTGAAAAATTTAGTGAAAAAAAGTTAAATTTAAAACAAATGCGATGAAAAATTCTTAAACTTCAACCGGAGAGAGTATATTAACTTCATATACAATATTAGCATACCATTAAAAATGCGTGATGCTGAACTGTGATGTACACTGCGTAAACTTTTGAACTCTGAACTGTGATGCACTCTGAATAACTTTTAATCGAATGATCGGATCTTCACGTTCTGGACTAATCTTATTGGTTCGAAGGGGGGACATCAAATATGCTATTTAATAAGTCCAGAAGATATTTTAAATTATGAAATCAGACGCAAGAACTTAATTTATCTGAATAAACATACCTTTTTTTCGATCTATTCCAATTTCTGACCCCATGATAAGGGGGGCAGCCACAATCTGGGAAATATGGTCTCAATATTTTGTTCAGAAAAATGATGCAAAATTAGTAAAGATTAATGTTAATTTAACATTTTGCTTATTCGCCATATCTCGATAACTTTTTAAGCGAATTGAAAAAATTTTCACGCAATTATAAAATTAAACATTTATTAAAATTTATTATTTATTATTAAATATTTATTAATTATCCAAAAAATTATTTCAATTAAATATTTATTATTATTTTTATTTTATTTAATGATGGTCGAAATTTTTTTTTATTCTGCAGCACTAAATTTTTTGCATCATTTCAAGGAATATAGTTTTACATGGTAAAATACAAAATTTGAACAAAATTGGCGGAATAGCTCCTGCAAAATTAAATTTATTGAAAGTCAGATATTTAAAATTTTATTTCTCATTAACTATTTTCCTCAAATATTGTATTTTCCTAGTAAAATTATATTCTTTAAAACGTTGCAAAAAATTATATACCTAATAGTATTTTAAAATGTTTTCAATCATTGTAAATTAAAGTAATAATAAATAATAAATATTTGCTAAAATTATTCAATTAGCTTAAATTTGTTTGGAGATATAGCAAAATATGCGAAAAGTAAAATTAGCATTAAGAGGTCCTAACTTTGGAGCGCTCTCCTGACCAAACTATTGGTACTATATTTTCCAGATTGAGGCTACCCCTGATATTTTGAGGTATATTTATAATATACCTCATAGGTACATCATAGGTATACTCATAGGTATAATATACCTCATAATATACCTCAAAAATAGGTATATTTATTTAGAGAACTTACGTTTTTGTATCTAATTTCGTAACCTAAAATATTGTCTGCACTTATTAATTAACATACTTGATTTCACCCCCTCAAACCATTAAGATTGAGTCCTTAAAATCCAATCATTAGATCAAAAGTTATTCAGGGTGGTCGGTTTTTTGCATGCACTGATCAAAAACTTTCTTTTCAGAACATAACTAATGCTTTCTATGAAAACTCGCCTAATATAAAATATCTAAAGGCATTTTATAAACAATTCGGCGAAATGCAAATTTCCTTGCTTCTATAAATACTTATTTTGGATTTATTGTATGATTGTATTATTTCATTGTAAATAGTTTCATATGAAATTCAATATAAGCTAATTATAATTTAATAAAGTTATTCAAAAAAAGTAGAAATTTCCTATTATTGTATACCTGACAGGGGAACTTACCATTTCAGTTTAACCATTTTCAGTTAACCGCCCTCTTTGCAGAGTAAAAATCGTTTGAAGAGCACCGAAAGATATTTTTTTTAAATATTTTTATTTTAATACTTTTGATAAGATATACTCCATTTATTTCATTAATTTATTGAAGGTTCTCATTAAAAACGAATTATTTTTAACATATTTTATGAAGACAGCTCATTCATAAAAATGCTTGCACAAAAGTATGTTCAACATATCGCAATACAATTAAATAATCAATTAAAAAATTGTCATTTTAAGAATTACTTTACAGTTTAGAAATATTCTTCCTGAAAAGCTGTTTAATTCTAAATTGAGTCAATATTAAGAAAGACCCACTAATTATATTGTGCCTGATGAATCCACCCTACCGTAAAATTACATCAATGATAATTTTAATGAAATTCTAAATCAAATTTTGAATTGCAATGGTATTTTTTTACTTTATTTTAAGGGTATTTTCATATGTTTTAGAGGTATGGGCATTTTTATGGGCAGTTTTAAGTATTTTTTTTTATGTCATTAATATCTGTGCACTAATTATTGATCTATTTGACATTTGAATTACTTATATGTGGTGATGGACAAAACTCCCTTCAATCTAAAATACTTAAATATTAATGCATTACAATTACAGCCACTAACAAAAGCATTTTCTTTAAATTTTACGCTGAGGTTGGAAGCTATGTATTTACGCTGATAGATGAAATATTATTATTTATTAACAAGTGAAAATATCTGAAAAAATGTTGATAATTGTGACATATTAGCACTACAACTTCCGCTGTAATAGAAGGAGATGATAAGCATTATAATGATTACCCTTATTGTATATTTTCAGGTTCTTAGTGAGAAAGTCAAACTTTCCAAATTAACGTAAAGTAATATACAATTAAAAAAAATAAAAATGCCTGCAAAAAGTGACTCAAATCAGCGAAAACTAAAACCCCAGGTAAGTGTTTTCAATAAATTTTTCATAAATCTGTACATATAAATGTGCTTTTAAAAGAATACTTTTTGCAATAATTTTATCTAAGCTCTTTGTATTAAAACTACGTGGCTAATTTTTGTAAAATTTTACAGAATATATTTTAATTTTCAGCAGAATATTATTCTATATCAATTAAAACTTCTTCCGATATCTGATGTTTTTAATTTGGTTAATGCTAATATGTAACTTAGCAAAACATTTTGTAAGAGTAATAGATAATTCAAGTTTATTTCATGAATAATGAATTGGTATTAAACTTAAACTATGCACATAAACATAAAGAAAACACTTGTTTATAATGCTTGTAGTTAGTCAAAGAATTCTTAAAAATGATGGGATATTAAGTTTTAGATATGATAAATGAATGAATGAGTATATATATANAAAAATGGGTAGACTCGCCCCGGTTTACGGTATATATATATATATATACACCAAAAAACATCAATGTTATTATCGTTTTGAAAAAGATTAAACGTCCACAGTATAATTTATAATAATGGTTAATTCAGAACCAGCAAGGAAATTCCATTTTTTTAAAGACCCAAACGGTTCAATTGAAAATTTTGAGCGATAGTTAGGATCCTGGGCAACATTTTTATTTTCATTTACAGTCGTAATTTTAGGAAGATGGAACAAACGGCTTTAGAATTACAAGATAGACAAGCAGATACATGCACAAACTCTTTATTTTATAGATAACTATAAATAAATGAAGTAAGCAAGAGCGCATTTTTAAGAAAAAGAAAAAAAGATTTCATTATTAACCAGTTCTGTTTGTAAATTATGTTTTCATTCCTTTATAGAAGATGCCAAGAGATTTGAGACCGAAAGATACATTAGGATTGGGTAAGTTAAGACGTTTTCTCTTACTTAATTTTTAAATTAGATATCTCAAAAAATGACAAATGATTTGAAAAAGACCAATTAAACGTAAAATAAAATATGTATAAATGCACGATCTGCTGTGTTCTGCTATGGAAACAGGCTTTTTCACTGAGAAACCTACTAACAAAGCTCATCACTACTGACTAAAAAACTATAATGTTTTCTCGTGCGTGCCAGACAATCCAACCGAAATAATTGCACTGTGTTCTGATAATTTTGTTCTCAAACAGCAGCAATCAACAGTTTGAGAACCTTTTTTATTAATTTTTCCAACTTTGCGAACTAAACTTCTTTTTACACATTAAGCACAACTAACCATGCATTTCTATATCCTTCAATTTTTTTCTCTAGAATTTTGTTGAGATATTTTAAATAATTTTTACGTTAATTAAAATACAAAAATTTTCTCATTAACGAAGATAATTAGCCAGTCTATTTACTAGCAGCTTGAAAGTGATACCAAAAAAATTGGCACTTCAACACAATATTTTTTCCCTGTCTTTGTATCAGGATGCATTTTTTGTTCGTGCATATTCGGTACTGTAGTTGGGCACATACCTTACCAATTGGCTAAAGTCGATATAATAATTTGAAGATTTAGCTGTATATAAAGGGGGTTCAAAATATCAATTTTAAGCACCAAATATAATTTTGTGCACTTTAATGTCTACAATACAAAATGTTACAATACAAAAGTTCTGAACAATACTTGCGTATTAGTCGAGCTGCATAGAATAAAAATGACTATCATTGTTAGCACTTTACATGAAAACGATTTCAAGACGTTGAAGTATTTTAAACTCCATTTCTAAAAAATATAATGGGTAAGAAAAGGATTAATTCAAATGATCTAGAATATTCTAGAATATTATTCCGATATTCTTTTATTTTACGCTGAATCGAGTGACAAATATTTCAGAAGCTATTTAGGTTTTATGTATAAAATATAAAGCTATTTAATTCTACCTATTACGTTTAAAACAATGCTATCTAGGTTTTTTTTTCTATCTATCTATCTATCTTCTATCTATCTATATATATATATATATATATATATATTAACTTTATTAAATTTGTTGTGTTACAAAAATAACGGCATCTTCAATGATCCGTTTTAAGCATAAACAAATTAAAATTATTATTCATACAGAACGATAATTACACCAGAACGTTTTTTCTTCATGTAGCTCTAAAATTTTGGAATTAAATCATGGTGGTAGCAGTGTGATAAGCGTTGATTTCCATAACAGACAAGTTTGTACCTGTCAATCAGAAACAATTTTAAAATTAAATAAGTAATTAATAATACAATTTAGAAATTATTCCTTAAAAATATTAACTTCATCATCATCATTATTAAAAAAGGCAATTGTTGAAGAAAAAATCTTGAAGATTGGGATTTTAGTTCTGAAAGAAAGAAAAAAAAGAAAATTAAAAGTTGGTTTTAAACTCAGTTCTCATCAAAACAAACATGTTATTATCGTCCCATAGTATTTGATTCATTTGTATAAAATTCTGCTTAAAATATTTCATTCATTGAAATTTTTCGCTTAACTTCGGAGTGATCATGAAAAAAAAAATCCAAGGCAAATGATTTGTTCATTTTAGTTTTTAAATAAACTATTAGTGGTCTCCATTTATTACTCGTTAGCGCTCACAAACCCCCAACGATTTCTACGAAGCCACGGTGGGCTCAAAAATTAAAGCACTCTCCTCTCAAAAAGGTGAATGAATTCAGTTCCCAACGTTGGCTGGTTGGTACGAATTATGTTCCCTGATCACACCGACCACAGTGCTAAAGTAACGAATCATTGGTAAATATTTCGTTTTTATTGGAATAATCTCGAGGTTTTGCTCCTTTCGTAGCCAAAATGTGGGTTAGTTCCATCAAAAAAACTTTAAGAATTCTACGTTGTTTCAATGCTAGATCCAGAAGTTCCTATGTCGCCTTGATCTAGCTCAAGGAACTATTTGAACAATTGATCACATGAAAACTATTTGATATAGTTTTTATAGGGTAATCACACAATGAAAATTATCGGCATTGAAACCTGTCCGTCAATCGTAAGCGTAATCGTGTCCGTAAGTGCAAACTTCCATAAAAGATTTTTCGAAAATGCTCGTGTAATATAATATAGGAATGGAAGTTGCCCGAAATATCAGCAACTGCTTCTCTGATCTGAAATTTTTTTCTATAATTAAGAGCTGCTCATACTTAAATTAATCAAATCGTTTGCATTTTATGACGATGAAATTATGATGGAGAAAATTATTGTACAAAATATTTCCTTGATAAAGTAAAACAGGGTTGAAGTGTAAAAATAAAATTTAATTTTAAATTCGAGTATTAAAAATTCTTTCCTACGACAAGATGGCAAACTCAATGCAGTTGTTGTACTACACCAGCAATCTGCACATCATTTTAGTGGTGGTTAAGTACAGCAAATTATTTTCTAGTTATTTTTTTCTTTTATTTATTCATTCGAAACCAGTAAAATTAAAAACATTTATAATTTGTAAAATTGAAACTTTGATTACTTTTGATAGAAATAATTTTATTTTTATATAGATAATGATTTCTTCAGAAGAGAAACTTCACATTAATATAGTCACCAAAAACTCGTTAAACTTTGTTGCGTTTGTTCTAATAAATAAAATATAAAATAGAGATTTCATTTCTTTATTATAAAATTTTAATATTTCTTTTTAACTTCTATTTCTGTTGATTGTCAAATGCGTTCGATTATTTGGAAAATTTCTTTATTTGTGTAGTAATTATTTAATTCTCCCCTAAAAATTCATGTAATTTTTGAAGAGCTCAGAAATTTAAAAACTCTAAGACCGTGCGGTTCTAAAACAGATATTTACCTTGCCTGTTACAAAGTTCCCCATTTTACGGCAATTATTTACAAGTTCAAAACGAGGTAGAAATATAATATATAAAAAGTAATTTTTGAAAGTACAAATTCCACAACCCCAGCTTCCCTATATTCCATAATCCTTCTCTTTTTTTATTTTATAATCTGTTTCTATATTCAATCCCTCTTTGTTTTGGTGTATTATGATTTTAATATTTTGTCTATTACTATATTGAAAGTTGGCATGCATTTAACATATGGATATTTTACTTTTCTAGAATGGGAATAAGCATGTAAGTTTACCTTGTGAACTTTTTAATGTAGTTTTATTTTCAATAGAGTAAAAATTGTCGTAGAAATACAATTTATGTTTTATAAAACAAATGAATTTCAATCCAATCATAAAAATTATAAAACTAATTATACCTTTCATATTTGTGTAGTGTGTAGAATATTCCTAAAACTGTAATTAAAATATCTGTCTGATTTGTTTTTTGCTTGGAGAGATACCTGCATTTTTATCCGATTTTAAATTAATAGTATTTAATCTCTGTTATTATAATATTAACGTTTTGGTAACGTTTAATCTTCATAGTGATTTTTTTTCTTCTATTTAAGCTATTTTGTAGATCCCTGTCATTTCTATCTAATGAAGAAGAGAAAGAGATATGCTACTGTTTCATGCTTTCAATTAAAAAAATAAGAATGTTAATTTATTATGTCTAAATGTTACATTTAAAACTAAATGGTATATTGTATTGATTATTTTTATTGATTCTTGTGTTACTCTAGGGTTATTCTTATTGTGTCATTCTTGTGTAATTTAAAATACAAAACACAATTAAAGCCAATAGCAAAAATAATAGGGAAGATAAAAAGAGTTTTCTTAATAAAATATTCTTTTTCTCTAATTGAAATTCAATTTGCATATTGTATATCATAATAAATTTGTCCTGAAGGAAGTCATGTAATTTTTAATTACATTTTAATGTTTCAATAATGAATGTTTTCAATTTTACAGTATTAAACTGTAATTATGACATTTATGCCATCAAAATCAATCTCCTTGCATTTGAAAAATAATATTTTGCTTTAAAAAAATAGCATTTCCTGAAGGTGATGTATTGATAGTAGTTTCAGTTAATGTAAACTCAACAGAAATATAACTTAAATTGCATTTTATGACAATTATAGGACAAAAATATTACGTGACAATTATATGACATAGAATTTAAGACATTGTTATGATACGCGTACTACTCATGCATTAATTTTTTAAAACAAAATTGAAAAAAAATCTGAATTGATTTAATACATCTAATAGTTTAGATTACAATCTTTTGATAGTATGTCAAAAATTTTATATTTTACGCATGAAAGCAATAAGCATTGGAAGCAATACTTCATTTATGTAGAGAACAGTTGCATAAATTGGTATAGGTCAAAAAGTGTACTTAGTACTCACGAAACCTGCTAAACTATTAAATCAGGCAACTTGGTTCTATTCTCATTCGATTTAGTGTAAATACATGAAATCAAGAAAGAACATCTCACAATTTATGCACTCTTCGGCCAATCTAAGTTTTTGTTCATTTTTCTTTCGCAGGAGAAAAGTCGAATCGCTTGTTACAAGTTTTATTTATTTATTTTTATAGCTCCGAATCTCACTGTTTAATATTGCCATTTCCAGTAAAAATAAATTAATTGGTTTTTAAAAACAGAAATATAGTATTTATACTATTGATTTGAAAATTTTCCCATTCATGTGGTAATGGTTTAATGAAAATTCTGGTTTTCAAGTTATAGTCTTTATTACAATAAATTTAGTAGATTCAACCTAATAAATGGTAATAACTGGATAAAACTAAAAATAATTAATAACTGGAAAGTAAATTTGACCCAATAACTGATTTTGTGCCATGCTGAGGTATGATGATAAAATTAAGTATTTTTCCATATTTTAATAAATAAATAAATAATCCCAAGAAACTGAATCGGTAATACATTACTCGATTAAAAACTTATCGTCAAGAATAAAAAAAAAAAGATGGGAAAAGCGATCGAAATGTTTCGAAAGCTTAAAAACAGGCACCCATTCTCAAGAGAAGAATAAGAAAAAAACAAAAATGATTTGAAAAATAAAACGTTAAGTTTCCAAAAAGAATAAGGAAAAAATAAAAATAAGATGCAAAACTAGAAAAACCACAGTAACAGAGAGGGGCGAATCTGGTTAAAATGCATTTCCACGCGTAATGGTGAGATAGTGCGAAACTAATGTCGTTAACAAAAGAATCAGCATTCATATGAATAAAACAAGATTCCAGGGCCTCAAGGTGAGCCATCCGTAGTGGAAATAATTTTGGCGTTGTCGAAATTGAATTTATACATAATATTTCAACAATGTGCAACACATTGTTGGAATCGTGGGAATAAATCCAATTTCGACGAAGCTAAGTTTTAACTTTCCACCACAGGACTCTAAGCATAAGTGAAATCTGAATTAGTTTATCAATCTTTAAATCAATACACAATTTCAAAATAATGAAGTAAAATAAAATGTAAAGTTATATCAATAATAACCAAGATAGAGGTAATTAATTTTTCTAGGATATTTTCTATTTTAAAACAATATTAGGCTAATCTTGCTTGAACATATTATTTGTTAGTATTTTTATATAGTCCTTTTATAAAATCTAAATCATTAAATTGATTATAATGTAATAAGAAAACTGTTTCACAATCAACTTTTTCAATGAACTCTAATCACCATTTCATTTATTTAAAAAAATGAATTGGCGCTTAAGAAGAGAAAGAAAAAAAAAGAATTATTCTAAGAAATAGAGTTTATAAAATAAAAATATATCATTTGATTCTTGTAACGGTATTAATTAAAATGATTTTTTCCTTAAAAAAGAATATTATTTTACGTATTATTTTTAATAACTAAAAACGAGTGTTTTCGTATCGAAAGATGGCGGTACCAATTAAAATTATTCACTCTGCTTGACAATAGCAAGACTGAATAAGAACTTTTTACTTTCTTGAACTTTATTGTGAGCATATTTTATTTTCTTGAATACTTTTGATCCACACATGTTTTTTTTGAAATATTTCTTAACACAAACTCACTTTACTCTTAAGCAACTTCTACCTCCATATTTTTTTTTAAAATCCATGCATAAGGCTTTCAGTTGTTTTTGCAAGAAGCAGTTCAAAATTTCAAATATTCAATTAATGAACCAATATTTTATTATTAGAGTCATGTAAAATATTGTGCTATAATTAAATAGATAAATAAATTCAATGAAAATATACTTTCAGAGTAAAGAAATTGAAATAATTTATTAAACTTGAAACTTTTAAGAAAAGGAAATAATTTGTAGAGATATCTTTTATTGCTTGGCCCAGTTTAATAAGCATGATATACCAAGTATGTCTGATAACTACAATGGTTATCAAAGTTATTAAAAGCTCAAAGTTACCAAATACCTATATTTAATACAAAATTATGCTACTTAAAAATATTTTATTTTATAACCGTCGTTGAACAGCTGATCAAATTTTGGGTTTACGATGACAAATGTTCAACTACTTAGCATTGCAATTTTGAACCAAATCAAGAAGACAGGAGAGCTCCTGGATAAAGGATTGGAAGAAAATGGAGGACTTTTTGATTGAACTAACCCGCATTTGCATTACATGGAGAGGAAAACCACGAATACCTTTCATGGTTAGCCCAATGACAAGGGGACTCTAGCCCATGATCCGTCTATCACTGAGGATATTTTACGTCAGCACTGTATTCGGTGCAAGCCGGGTGCGGATTTCATGTTGACCAGCATGATGAAAAGGTGTGGTGTTTGGCACCTTGCGCGTGCGGTTAAAAGACTCATGCATCGATCTTGTCGGGTCCCAGGGACCGAATCCGTGTATATTGGTCTCCTTTGTAATTGCTGTGTTGCCATCTTTTTGTACCTTTATCTCTCAAATTTGAGACAAAGGTTGAAATTTGCACGCCATTACTGCAACTGAATATCCACTGAGGGACTACAGGTAACTTTTTCACCGATGTTCCATCAGACAGATAATCGTGAATCGTTGGAGCATATGGCTTGAAAGATCTGAAAACAAATACCATGTAAAATTTTTTTGAAGGGTTGAAACTGGAGGAAGGAGTATTATGGACTGGGAAATATTTTTGCACCACGGATTATCAGCCTTCGTAACCTGGCGCAGCTGGTCTGGAGTTGGTGTAACTCAACATCCCAGAACACCTTTAATCCCAGCAGCGTCTATCAACTTTGCGAAACATGGTTATTTTGGCTTATGACAGAAGGTCATATTAATGTGACTGAACTGTATCTATAAGTTTAACATTGTAGTGTGTCACATAATTGAGTCACGCTGTCATATAAAAGTTATGAATTGGAGAATTCAAAGATGTCAGGCCATGCCCAACGTGTTAATGTAATGTTTTAACATTTTTTGCAATGCTATCATACGTTTTTTTTGGTGCTTTTAGCGAATAAATCCGTTATAACCGAATAAACTTATAAACCGTTAATTTTACATAAGACCTTGGTTTATTTTTGTTTGATTCAGCTTGAAATTCAAATTAAAAATTATACAAGATTATCTGAGGCAATTGTGCTTAATTAAATCACCTGTTTTATTTTTATTCTTATCAGTAAATTCAAGCTAGTGATTAAAGTTCTTTTCAGAAGAAAAAATATGCATACTAAATCTAAGGAAAATTTAAAGAAAATGTATAAAAAAATGCCGCGAATTTATACTTGCATGCCTTCTCTTAATAGTTTTGCGATTCAAAAAATTCCCTTATTGCATTTTGAAAATATTATTACGCACTTTATTATTATTCAAATAAAGTTAAGAGTTATTTCACGGGAGGGAAAAAAGTTTCATTAGTTTTTTTACAAAAAAAAATTTTAATGTTTCGCTTGCATTCACATAAAATTACAAATTATTTTGGGTGTGGATAAATATCTGAATTTCTTTTTTTTGTGACAAATATATGAATTAGTTCCATCTTTAGCGTGAGCAAGCAAATCAGGGAATTTCTCTTCAGTAGTTTTAAAAAATAATAAAATATTTTGGAAACATTTACTTTTTTAAAAAAAATAATAAAAATTTTTAGTCATTAACAGAAGTTAAAAATGTAACATTTTTGTTCTTGAGCGAACATCAAAACCTGTTTTTGATTAGAGAAAATTCACTTTATTCAGATTGGCAGAATATTGAGTAATAACTAAAACTTTTGGAAAACAGTAGATATTTTTTTCTATTTTTTTTAATTAAACTTTTTGCCGGCCGGATGGCCGAGCGGATAGCGTGCCTGACTGCGGAGCCTGTGGCTGCGTGTTCGAATCCCGCTCTGGGCATGAATGTTTCTTTCTCTCTATCCGTGTTCTATGTCCTTTCTCCTTTGTGTGTAATTGTATGAATGTGACCCGCCCTATAAACGGGTTGTGGTAGTGTGACGTGGGTGACGCTGCTCCACCGCCGTGGCTTAGCCACAGGTGCCCACTGGGTAACGAAAAGAGAGTTAGCAGTTCTGGCACTTTCTGTGGCCAATGGACAATAGTTCCAAGTGCCCGCCATTAAAAAAAAAGTAATAATTAAATTTTTTTAATTTAAGAAACGACAAACTCGAGCAACCAAGAAGCGTATACTTGTAAGTTTGTAAAATAATAATAATAATTATAAATGGATGAAAAAAAACAAACATTGAAGATTAAATGAATAGAAAAAAAAATAATATCATTAGAAAATTACATGTTATTTGAAACGTGTCGATTCTTATTTCCTATTTATATATTTTTAAGCGAATGATGTGTATTAGTATTATACCATGTTATTGTACCCTATTTTATTTTAACAAAATCATTTACTAAGTGCTTCTGTCATTTTAATCATTATTAGCTCTAAAAATTCAATTTGAAATGATTTCAAAAATATACGTTAATAAATTAAACAAATGTATTAATGCATAAAAATCTTACGTTGGAGAGTATAAGTGCTGTCAAAATAAATAAAGAAGTATGTATGTACCTACAATTGTAATTTAATCGTTATTTCGCATTCACTTTTGAAAATTATTTCCGGAAACAGCAAAATTTGGTGGTTATACCTACATAAACTCTGAATAACGACAATGCCGTTATACAAATAAGAATATATATAAGAATAATAAGAATATATAAGTTAATAAGAATATATATTTTCCCCCAGAACATTATAGATTTTTCATTGTGTATTTTATTTTCAGGCCACGGAGCAGAAATAGTTGGCAAAGTCTCAACTTACTATGGCTTGGACCGCTGTTCAATACCTAATTCTAATAGCTGGGTGGCTGATAAGATTCTACTTTCGTCGATCGTGCCTCTGTGGTGCGGAATCCCAATTTCTCCTGCACAGATGGAAATAACACCATTTTCACACGGAGAAAAAAATCCTGGTAAAATTACTCTCTGGTAAATAAAACCAAAATACGCGGTATTTGTGAAGTCGGGTCGCCAAGTTACCATTTAAAATTTTTACAGTTCTCCTCTTTAAGGCGCACAACGTTGAAATTTCTTGTCTGACACAGCCACCTTGCACCTGATTGTCGGCACGGGTGATTTCGTCATGGTTTCCGTTTTAATTGTATTTTGCATCTCTAATTGACTTTTCAAAGAATAAGATAATGTTTGTAAATTTAAAATGGGCAAAAATAGGCCAGGTAAAATGAAATTGCTCACAAAAATAATCCTCAGAAAAAATACCGAGACATTCCCGCGATGAAAACATTCGCCACATCGGCCGAGAATCAGTAAGAACTAAATTTTTAAACCATTTTTTTCCCCTCTCTTAGCATTCCAATTTCAGAGTGCTTTGAGATGAGCTTCACCGGTCGCCAAAGATGCCGCTTCATGTCAAGTGTCTGGTAATTGTATTCTTCAACATGTACTCGCAGCCTCCGTCAGCGTGATAAATAATTATCCATCTAAAAGGGGTACAATCTTTAATTCAGTTTAATATCTACTGAATCCTGTGACATTCTTTTATATCCTGATGGACAACCTTTCGATGATCCGATGAACCATTCCGAAAAGGGTAAGTGGACTTGTTATTCTTCCGAATGTCTGTTGAGTCTTGAGACCACTGCTTTTATCTCTTGATGGATAATATTTCTGACAAAGCATTGACCAACTCCACTCCACCCAATGCGATGTCTCCTTCATAAATGAATGATGACCACCTCAAACATGATTAAACTTAATAAAGAGCTAGTTTATCAGAATTTTCATGGTTGAAAATTTTCCCGGATATTTTCTAGCGAAAGATATCTGGTTACTTTTCCTCGAATTTCAACAGGTTGTGTAAATATGCTATTTTTTTTAAAGATAATTTTGCCAAAATAAATGTAGACTTTCTTCTTTTACAATCTAATATTTTCCACAGCCATGGCCTAATTTATTCTAGTATGTATTGATGATTGTATGAATTTTGTATGTATGTAGGAAATTTTTTAAAATTGAGAAATCTATTAAATCATTTCACTAAAATGTTTCCTAATTAATATAATAATATCATTTATTTAACTATTTTTTAAATTGTAAATCATTGTAGTTAATAAATTTTATTTATGGCACAATATTTACACCATTCATTCAAATGATAATGCTCGGATCTTAAAATTATTGTTCTTATTACCACACATTTAATAAAGAAGATTTTACAAATACATAACTGAAAAGTAAATTTAGCAGGATAAATGATTTTCCAGGCTCTAAAATATCATAAATAAATTACCATATTTTACCACATTTATCATGTTTCATCATATAATATAAAACCATATTTTAATTTTACCAAAATCATTACCAAAGCGCTTCGATAAAAATTACCGATCTTTTTGCTGCTATCATAGAGCCAGGAACATGGTAAAATTTATCATTCTCTGGTAGTTTTGATTATACAGTCAACCCCGCTTAAAGGAATACCATCGGTTCCAGCCAAAGCTATGCTATTAAGCGGGTTATTCGATAAAAAGGGGAGTGCAATATTCAATCTTAAATTCTAAATTTTTGCAAAAATTTACTTTTTAATGGCATTTAATGCATAGTACAGCGTTTTGATTAAATTAACTCAGTTTCATGAACAATAATCAATTATAATTAAAACTGTCTGCTTTAGAATCATAAAATATAAATGTCATTTAAGGTTACATAAAGCTAGATCAATATTATTGAAAAGTATAACATAGGTACTACAATATTTATTGATCCCTTTCGAAAAAATCTATAATTGAAGACTGTGAATAGAAATGTATAATCCGTGAATAGAAATTTCTTGTGAATAGAAATCTATAATCCGTCTAATTCCTCAATTTATCAAAATTAGATTTTCCCTTTCAGTTTATATTAAGAGTTTCAAGACTTGCGTATTCCTTTCAAATACATTCAGAATTTATTATTTTATTCTTACTTATTTATATTTTTTTAATCTTCGAAACTAGAGAAATTCCAAATTAATGCGCTATTTTAGTTTGGAACTTTTTTAAATTTTCTGCTTCTAAGATCTATTGTTTTTCTGCTTCGATTAATTCAAATCATTCCTTTTTGAGCTCAATTTGCAACCAACTCAGATTTATTCACTAGATTAAGCAATGATTATTTTACTTAAGAGAAAAACACATTAGTGTGTTAGGTTTTGGAAACTTTTTCTTATCAAGGATAATAATGCTCCAGGCGGGCACCACAGGTCTTGACCACAAATCAAATATCTCTGTACGTTTTTTACCTTCTAAATGATGTTTGAAGTAATTTAAAGAAGGGTAAAAAACACTTCAATGTATAACTGGCAGTGAGATCTGATTAATTTCTCAACTTTACCACCTGTTTAGACCAACAAAGGAATAGGAAGCTCCTACTGAAGGGACCACCCATTTACTTAACTGAATAACGGAAATTCCATTTTTAGCTGCTGAAACATTTCTTAAAAAATAGACAATTTTTTATTTTTATTTTAGTACCTCCTCTTTATGCAATTAGGCGTAAGCAAAAAACTATCAGCATTCGCTTAAACGGGGAAGTTTAGTATTAGTTTCATATAAAATGATTTGGTTCCATTCGTATATTATTCGATTATCTGATATGCAATTAAGTGGGAAAGACTGTATTTCATTTCTTAGTGAAAGGCAATCGTCTAGGGTCCTGTGCCAAGGATATTCAAAAGAGATTCTATTCTTGAAAGTTATAAAATTTAGATATTTTAAATTTATTATTAAATTAAATTTATTATTAGATATTTTAAACTAAACCAGCGTTTCGACATGTTTGTAAGCAGTGATTTTTAGGAACAATATGCAACTTTCAAAAATTCAACTTCAAACGCTACTACTTAATTAACATTTGTGTTGACAAAAAGAATACGCTTCTGCAGTAATTTACAATGAGTATTTTTTCAATTTCTTTCTCTTTTTCGATATGTATATATGTATATTTNGAATAGCACATATTTTGCTTTTTTAAACACCATAATAAAATAAAAATTTAAAATATATATATACAGTCGTCCCCACTTAATCGCACATCGGATAATCGAATAGCCCGCTTATACGAATAAAAATTAATTGAACCAAATCATTTTATATAAAACTAATTTCCCCGTTTAAGCGAATATTGATTGTTTTTTGTCCCCGCTTAATTGCATATAGAGGAGGTACTGAAATAAAACAAAATTGTCTATTTTTAGGAAATGATTTACCAGCTAAAATTAAATTTCCGTTTTTCTGTTACGTAAATGAATGGTCCCTTCAATAGGAACTTCCTATTCCTTATTTGGTCTAAACAGGTGGTAAAGTTGAAAAATTAATCAGATCTCGCTGCCAGTTATACGTTGAAGTGTTTTTTTACCCTTCTTTAAATTACTTTACACATCATTTAAAAGGCAAAAGACGTACAGAGAGATTTGTTTTGTGGTCAAGACCTGTGTTGCCCGCCTGCTGCATTTTTAGCTTTGATAAGAAAAAGTTTCCAAAACCTAACACACTAGTGTGTCTTTCTCTTAAGTAAAATAATCATTGCTTAATCTAGAGAATAAATCTGAGTTGGTTGCAAATTGAGCTCAAAAAGGAATGATTTGAATTAATCGAAGCAAAAAAATAATAAACCTTGGAAGCAGCAAATTTAAAAAAATTCCAAAGTAAAATAGCGCATTAATTTGGAATTTCTCAAGTATCGAAGATTAAAAAAAATAAATAAGTAAAAACAAAATAATAAATTCGGAATGTATTTGAAAGGAATATGCAAGTCTTGAAAGTCTTAGTATAAACTGAAAGGGAAAATTTAATTTTGATAAATTGAGGAATTAGACGGATTATAAACACAGTCTTCAATTATAAATTTTTTCGAAAGGGATCAAATAATATTCTTGTACCTATGTTATACTTTTCATTAATATTGATTTAGTTTCATGTAACTTTAAATGGCATTTATATTTTATGATTTTAACGCAGACAGTTTTAATTATGATTGATTATTGATTATAATACTGAGTTTATTTAATCAAAACGCTATACTATGCATTAAATACCATTAAAAAGTAAATTTTTGCAAAAGTTTAGAATTTAAAATTGAATATTGCACTCCCCTTTTAATCGAATAACCCACTTAATAACATAGCTTTTGTTGAAATCGATGGTATTCCTTTAAGCTGGGTTGACTGTTTATGTAATTTATATGAGGAAGAAATTTTGTAATATGTATAAAACATATATTAATTTTAAATTTATTTTCTAAACTTCGAATTCCAATTCCTATTTTGAGTCTAAAATTTAAATTTATCTATGCTTGTTATCAAAAATACACGAAATCATCAATTGCTGCACACTGGTGGAATCTTGGACATAAATTAAATTTTGACAATGCCAAATTTATTTCCATCCACCTGTCACATCAGCTCATCTTGATGCCATGAAATCTTGTCTTATTCATATGAATGCTGATTCCCTTGTTAACGATTTTAGCTCCTCAATACCTATCCATAGCCCATGGAAATGCATTTTATCCTAATTTTCTCTCTTGGCCACTGCGGTTTTTCAATCTTTTCTATCTCGGCTACAGTGGCTCCTTTAGTTTTATATCTCACATTTTTTTTTCTCCATTTTACCTCTTGGCAACTGAACATTTTGGATTCCAAATCACTTTTGTTTGGTATCATTTACGTTCGTCAAGTGCTGAAAATGGTTGCCTGTTTTTGAGTACTATATATATATATATATATGTATATATATATATATATAATAACTAAATAAATACAAGAAAACACTAAGAAAGTTAAGAAAAACAATAAGTATCATTTATTGCGCTTAAGCTGCAAGTAAACAGCACTCATTAGATAAGTTCAAAATGAAGAATAAAACAAAGAAAAATTATAGACATATGAAAAAAAGGGGGGTGGGAAATAATAAGTAAAAAAATAACAAACAACATTTTATTTAAAAAAAAAAATGAAATGTTAGTTAAGAAACCGGGAAAAAAGCCGGAAAAAAAAGATATAATCTTTTCTTCAGCCCACACGATTATATCCGCAAAACAGAGTGCTTTCTGATATTGTATCAATAAAGCCAAAGCAAAATATATTAATACAATAGTGTGAGGAGCACTCAAAAAAATTTTTTTATAAAATAACTACATAAAAATAGATCATAAAAAGTAAAAATAACATGTAAAAACAGA